GTCAAAAGGGCGTCTCCCGCCATCCACCGCTTCGTTGAGCGCATCCAAACCAATCAATGGCAGCGTTTTGTACTGGTGTTCGACACTTCTAGAGATCAAAATCCTTCACCGTATTCGGCCTCGAGAAGGGAACGTTTTCATGTTGACGGACAGACTATGCATCAAGTACGGGCGCCTTGGACATGTCTCTGAAGCATCAGCCATGCGTGTCACATCGCAACATACATCTATCGCGGTACCAAAAGTTTTATGTGCATTTACTCGTTCTGGGTGGACGTACATTTTAATGGAAAGGATTAAGGGAGACATAATCGGCAATGGCTGGGCAAAACGAAGTGAGGATTCCAAGGCGAAACTTCTTTCGCAATTAGCAGAAATGATCCGCGGGATGCGAGATCTTCAGCCTCCGAAGGCATAGGGGTTGCTTCTATTGATAGTGGATTGCTTTTTGACTGCCATCTCCTTGGCCCTTCCTCGCTTCGGTCCCTTTGATACCATCGAGGACTTGCATCGGCACTTGCGCATGGGCATGGAATTCGATTCAAGGCTCGACCCGCTACTCAGGAACTTTTCAAATAACAAAGCAAGTCTTGGCTTTTGGTATTTGCTCATGGAGTACACTCACTACTCCAGCAGCCTTGGCCATCAGGGACATAGTTAAGAGTTTTACAGCTGATTTGAGCCAAGCTAGTAGGTATACAAAGGAATATCAAATGGTCGCCTGACCACAACGCTCGTTTAACTTGCACCTTCAGCTCTACTGGTCGCTCACTCGAAAGTATCCTAATGGACGAGACTGAGACATTTTGGACCGAAGTTCTAATTCTGACAGTAAGGATGTTCGTGGAGTGGGACCGATCTTACGTCTGGTCACTGGTCAGGAGGAGTCATCCTTGTTACCACTGTGGAAATGGGACAAATGATTTAAGTAAGACTCGGATGGATCAACCACGTATAAGCATGGTATTGGTTATGAGCTATACTCGACAAATAGCCCCGTGTGATGCGCATTGATCAAAATCCGCAATGCAGCTCTCAAAGGTAGCGAATGTTGCCATGACAGTCGTGCCGCCTCACCCATATGTCAATATTCAAGTCCCAATTGGGCTGCGGGGCGTTCACTGCATGTCTTGTATCATCGTGCTTGCGGAATGTTGATCATAGCTGTTGGTGAGTGGATCTAGATTCCTTGCATGTATCGGGCCTGTTGAAGGCTGGGACTCGTTTGTCCGGGCGACGGAAGGATACGACCGACTCTTCTGAGCTGTCACCCTAGACTCTGCCCTGGGTTCTGTCTCTGTTGCCTGGCGATGTAAGCCCTTGATGTGTAACGCAGACGAATATTGCTCATTGAAAAGGGCACCAACTAATGTTTCACGCCCTGTGCTCCTTTCGTAGACTTGGCCCTCGAGGATCATGCAGCTCTTTGTCTAGCATCGCCATCTTCGAAGTGCATGTCGTTGCTGTCTGTATTACGGGCTGTGTCACCAGCCGGTATGAGAGAAATTTATGCTTGTGGCTTTAAGCTAAGCGTGAAGTATGCTCCCAGAACCATAAGAATAAGGCACCGTGAGCTGCAAGATGATGAATTATGGCTGCAAAGGATGAGGCAGCGCCACGAGCACATCTTCCATCAAGTAAGATCAAGCAAGGCCATTGATACCCATACAGGGTTGACTAACAAAGACAGGGTGTCCCTGGTTTCAACCAGGTAAAACCTGGCTGTCTATGTCTGGTGAACCACAAGGCTGAAGGGACAAAGGAGAGTCTCCGCCACCCAGCGAGGAACTTTGATAGTTGATCAGAAGGTTATCAGTCTCAAGCTCCTAAAGTGAGTTTCTCCACGAGCAAGAATGTGATGTCTCGCAGAAGCAAGGGACATGGGTGGGACACCCCGGATGGTGGAGTTGAAGGCTTGATACTATCGTGGTCCCTATCGATATCACCGATAAGATGGGATGATAGGAGGGCTTTCGGAATCAGTACCCTTGCAGGTCGGCAGGGACTGAAGACAGTTTCCGGTACTACTCCGTACGGCAAGTAGTGAAGTTTTAGGCTCTCCACCGTAATTAGCTCAATTGTTTCATATTAACTAACTTGAAGTGGAATCGTGACCGTGATCTCCAGGCATCGCGCTCGAAGTGCTTGTAGCCTGAGGTGTCAAATGTTGTTCTGATTGGTCAACGCGAAAACGCGAACTGAACGCGTCTCGACGCGTCTCGTGTCGTGTCTGTAATATTACCTGATCAGGAAACCGCGCGGTTCATGGATGAATTGTATATGTGCACCAGAATAGGGAGAAGAAAGAGGACCGATGTGGATGATGGATGAGTTGAGACTTGAGAGAAATGAGCAAGTCTACAGGACTTAGGATGGCCTTTATTACTGCTGCTGGAGAGGATGGGATGAATCGCAGGATGCTATGCTAGAGGGAAAGAATGGAGGGACAATGTTCCTTGAGACTCTGAATTAGGGCATTTAGAGACACAGTTCTTCGCCCTGGTAACTTCTGTTCAAGGTGATTTCATTGATTTCGAGAACTCTCTGGAAAGTGTTTTCATAACTGTCTTGGTCCGTAATCTAATCTTATGGCACGCTAATAGAATGTCAACGAACATGCACATGCACCTGCACATGCAATGCTCACCCGATCCTTCCGAGCAGCTCAGACCAGAAAGCAATGACTTCATGGCGTGTCACCGGATGACCGTTTCAATTGAAGATGTGGCTTGTTGCTGGGGACTATGATGCAAGGTCGAACTTTCATCCTTTCCCCCTCGTGTCTCAGTTGGAGTCAATGAAAATCATAGTGGATGTAGACAGGGACTACAGATCAGACAGAGGGGGATAAGTAGTCCATGAATCTGGTCAAGGCAGCATCAATTCAAGCGGAACGAGGGAAATAAGATGGGGCCTTCATCCCGTCAGGAGACAGACATCAAGGAGCGGAAAGCGAACAAAGAGAAAAGGGACAGAGAGGTCTTGGGGTCTTTGTCCTTTCAGAGTGCCCCAGCTTTCAACAACTGCAAAGAAAGTGCTTGAGGATTCTGCAGACACTTCTTTATTCATGATTCTAAAATTGTTCTTTGGGTATCCGCAGCGTATCTGATATCTAATTTCCCTCCATATTTGATGCTTATTTAGCTTATCGCCGCTTGCGGAACTCCACTCTGTGACAGCGACTGTGCCAGTGTCCCTCCTGTCCCTCCCACTATCCACCCGGGTTCCCTTTTTCCCCCCCAAAAATTTAATTATCGCTACATTATTATTGTTTCCACCTCAACTCCCGCAACTCTTTTCATCCTTCATCATTATTTCAACCACCACGTCAATCGCATATCTCGCAAACTATTCCATTCGACAGCGCTCATTTCGAAATCTATCATCCACTCATTTTGATTTTCCTATCGCGTTCTACTGCCGACTGGACCTCCCCCGGCGCAAAACACTTCGCGCTGGCGCATTCCTCCGGCGCGCAAACACAAAGCCATTCCTTTCATTCAACACCACCACTATCAGATCAGTCTATACAATCCTTCATTCCGTGTCGCTTGATACATTTGATATCCAACCTCGCAACCATGTTGCTCCCTTCTGCGCTTCCCTGCGACATGCGACGCTCCTCGACCCGGTCGCGCTTCACACCCAATCGCCTCTTCTCGACGCCTCCTCCGTCCGACAACGACTTCTTTCCATCGAGCAACGGGCTACTAGGAACCTGTCGCGCCCTTCAATCTCTTCTAAGTGGCTCTCCCGCACCGTCTTCGCGACGAGCCAAACCAGAACGTCTCCAGAGTCCGTTCCACCTCGCATCTTCCGCAACCTCCACATCCTCCACACGGCCGCGAAAGCCAAAGACACAAACACGCTCTCGACATTCCTCTCCTAAACCGTCACCAAAATCCTCTCGCGGCGCAAACAAGCGCACGCGCGCCAGCTACGAAGCCGACAGCGACGCGGACTCGGAAACCCACACTCCACGCGCTCGATTTTCCACCCCAAAGCGTCGACGCTACGTCCCCTACGATCTCCCCCTGGGTCTATCGCAGTCAGACTTTTATTCTTTGAATTCACCACCAACCACACAGTCGCCGTCCTCTCCTGTGCAGCGACGACAACAACAGCTTTGCGACGAGGTGCGCGCACCGCTGCCGCCCTCGCCGTCTCCCTCCTCGCAGTCGCAGTTTGATCCTGACGCAGCGCTACCGTCCATTGAAGAAACGGGGCCGGATTCTTGGACCTCAGAAGATGACCGGCAACTTGTGGAGGTTGTCCTGGAAAAATTTAAGCTCTCCAAGCGCGACTGGGACGAGTGCGCGCGCCAACTCGGCAAGGACCAGGATAGTATTGGGCGCAGATGGGAGGCGCTCATTGGAGAGGGGGATGTGGGATTGCGACGCGGACGACGGATGGTCCGCGGTCGAATCGATGAGAGTTGGCTGTAACTGCACTCTCTTACTTGCCTTCGACTTTTGCCACGACTGAACTTGATACCTGATTCATGGATATACCTTTCTTCTATCCCAAGTGCTATGTAATTTTACGACATCCGTTCGACTCTACTTTCGACCATACCTATGTTTGCGGCATGGTTTGTATTATTTATATCTTCCGGTTCTTCGGTGTTTGGTTATCTGCAATCGCCGTCGCGAATTGTTTGCCGGCTTTTAACTGTGATCTATCCTATCTGTATATTTGTGCCGTTGTATAATACTATCGAACATTCTATCTCATCATCTGATGTCATTCCGTCTGCAACCAGAACTTGTGATCTTTCTTTGTTCATTATGCGGTGCGTTCTTTGTCCAACCTCATGGTATAATGTATTGTTCTCGGAATACTCCGTAAATGACTGGGGTTTATACAGAAAGTCTATTATCATATTTGTAGGACTTGAACTAGATAGTACAGGAAATGCTGCTGTTAATGATAAAATGACCCGAACGCCAAACACCCAGCTCAATGATCGTAGCGAAGATGACGGGAATGCAGATGATGCACTAGAATCTGCAAGTTTGTTAGTCACAATTTCAGAGTAGCGTATAAACAGGGGAGCCCGGGGAGGGGAGGGATGTACCTGATTTCATAACTGCCCGCACGAGTCATATACCGCACCCACTTGACACTACTGTAGTTGCTCTTCTCAAACACCTTGAGATACCGCACCAGCAACCCACTACTGGTGAACATCAACAGACTAAACGAGAGACTCAGCGGTGGCCGGCTCCACGCCTTCTGGTTCGTCATGCTGGTCAGCGTCGCCTCCGCCGTAAGCACGTACTCGCTGCCGCCGGAGAACCGCGCAATCTTCCAGACGATATTGTTATGCTCGGGCTCGTATTTAGCGCGGCCCTGGCTCGTCCGCTCGGTGGTCTTGGCCGTGTTCAGGGGCGTCGGGATGCGCACGACCACGTTCGTCGCGAACAGCTTCGAGCTGTAGTTCGCCTTGATGGCGACGCTGTACTCGACCTTGGTGGTGCCGACCTCGCGCACGATCGGGTGCACCTTGAAGGGGAGGTTGACGTTCTCCGTGGCGCGGTACCGCATCAGCTCGAACTCGCCGTCCGGCGGCACAAACGAGATGATCCGGTCCGCGTCGAAGCGGCCCAGTTTCACGCACTGGTGGAACTGGCAGTCTTCCAGGGTGACGGAGCCGGCGGCCGCGCGCGTCGCTTTGCCGCCGGAGTGGCCACGCGAGGACGAGGACGGGCCTGCGCCGCCGCTGCTGTCGCCGTCGAGGAGGAGGCGGTCGTTCAGCCCGAACTTGCACTCCGGGGTGCCGGAGAGGTAGGCGCGCATGACGATCTGGCCGGTGACGTCGGCGCGGAGCACGGTGCCTGTCGCGGACATGAGCAGGTTCACGTCCTCAATTACGTCCACGAAGGCTTCGTTCTTGCGGTACTTGACGTCTGCGCGGCGCCAGGAGAGCGCGCCGGTCGCTTGCATTGTGATCCGGCTCGAGTCGGTCGGGTTGTTGACGATGGCGGACTTGACGCCCTCCGTTGTGATGTACATCTTGAGCGTGTCCGGGTCGGTGTTTTGGGGATAGCCAAAGTCGAGGATTTCTGGAAAACGGTTATCCTCCACTCTGTCCATCTGTTTGAGGAAATACTCACCATCCAACAACTCATAAATCAAAACAAAGTTATTCTTGACGGCCTCCTCATCAAATTTCCCAAAGTAGCTCTTCCCCAGCAACACCAACCGGTATAAAAACTCAAACACCAATGCCGCATTGGCATTGCTCTTGGTCACCGCCACCAGGTAGATATTCTCGTGCTTGACATGGCTGAACGTTGTCGATCCCAGCGTCAGAATGGGCGAGCGCACTTGGGGGTTGGAAATGACTTGGATGCGGAAGATGTCGGCCAGGCGCGGACGGCAGTCATTGCGAAAGGCGCGGAAGATGAGGTTCTCGCCTTTTTGGTTGAAGACGAGAATGCCGGAGAGCATTTTGAATATGGGGTCACTGGAAGGGGGGAAGGAGGGCGTCGGAATGGGTGCCCTGGCAGAAGGGAGGGATTAAATTGGGGATCCTGCCGGAGAAGCTCTCAGGATAAATTGGGGCCGAAGGTGGGGAAGTCGGTCAGTTTAGTCCAGAACATTTCTACTAAGCAAATACTATCAATCAAGTCGATCATTCACAAAATCACTGCCAAGTCTCACAATGTTATTAGTAAATATTTACATGAAGTGTGATGCTCAGTTGATGGTTGCTGCATAATTCTAGCAGCTTATGTCGCAATACCCTAAGTACATAAAAGTCACAGGCAGAGCAGATAGCCTGGACACAATGACGGACATGCATATGAACAGATCGGCATGGCCTCTGCAACAGATTTCAATCTCTAGAGAAACAAGTGTGAAATTGCGGATGTGGATATCATGAAGATGACAAGATCCAACAAGTAAAAAGCCCAGTATTCGCCTTAAAACCCGCTAGATATCACGCACAACGGCCGTTCAGGGGGTATACAAGAATTAAAAGGGGTATAAAGGTATTAAAGTAAGAGGAAAGAGAAAGAAGGCAAAGTCCCAGATGACAGTACGCCTGACTCGTTGCAGCTTAGAATCCAAGCCCAACGCCACTGTTTGGTCTCGTCCCCGGCAGTGACACGCCCTCGCTGGGGATGATGCCAACCTTGGGATCGGGGATCTGGATGTCCAAAGACATGTATGCCGTCCGTCGCAGGCTCCATATATGTACCCCATCCTTCGCGCCGACCTCACGATTCCACTTGTCAAGCCAATCCTCCACCCGTCGCAGATGGCTCTTGATACCAGGGGCACCGATATCTTCCCACAACCAACCTGTGACCAGACCCAGCGCGCCATCAACCAAATTGCGGAAACTGAACGGGTCAAACGCCTTGATCAGTTCCTCGTTCACCGTCGCAATCACCCGCCGAAACTCCTGTTCTGGAAGTAACGGGTCCAGAATCTCGGGATAGAGGTTCGAGAACGTCGGCGCCAGATCCCCCTTCACCATCCAATCGCGTCGTATTCGAATAATTCGAGTTGTGAGGTACTCTTGCGACCCGATGGGAACATGTGGATTGACATGAGGGTAGCAAGGATGCGCAGGGCCCCAGGCCAACTCCTCCGCGACTTCAGCCTCTCCGCCTGTCGGTGGAGCACCTGTGTTTGATGGAATGGAGGCGATTTGCGACTGTGAACGCAGGGAAATCTGTGACGGTATATGGCGCGGACGATCCCCATGCAACGGCCCCAGCGAACCCTGTCGATCAGCGAGTGTATCCTGGGCTAGATGGGCCCGTTCGGGCGACCTAAGGTCTTTTTCCTCTTGAGAACCATTATTGCTGTGTCCCGCCTGTTCGGACATCTCCTGCAGAGCGGAATGGCGATCGAATGTGCCACTGCGCCTCTGCCCTCGAGGCACTGCGATGCTGGAGCGTCCACTCTCGGCCTCGCCTTGACTGCGCTCTACTACTAAGCTAGTTGGAGTTTGTGACAACCGACTGCGGCGTCGTTCAGGGATGGTCAGAAGCGGATACGCGTCTCGGTGCGCTTCCAGAGGCAGGTGCTCGTCGGAGATCTGCAGCGGATGCGGAACGGTGACTGGAGTAATTCGGGGTACGTAATTGACTGGGTTAGCGAGTCGGACAGCGGGGGGTCGGAGTATGGTAGTGGTGAGCAATGAATGGGTCCGTTTTTGGAGTTGTTTTTGCCGGAGGCAGGGCTTTTTCAGGCTGTTTCGAGTGGGATATTCGGTAGACTGTGATGAGTGTGATGAGGCACGACGATCGCGCTCGAGAGAACGGTGCGTGTGATGGCGGTGGAGGCGAGTAGTGGAGTTCTCTTCAGCCTCGGGCGATGATAGTATGTGCGAGTGTTCCCAGGCCGTTGAAGACGCCGTTTTGGGAACAAGGACTGAGCCACTGGACGACAGGGATAGAGGGGCGGACGAAATGGTCGTCGCAATGGCTTAGGGGGAGGCCTGGATATTACCACTACAATCGCTAGTAGGAGCAGTAGTAATAATAGGGATGATGATGGTGGAGGAGAAGAGAAAAAGGGCAGGCGGTGGTGTGCAGCAGGCGAGGCTGTGATTGGCGGAAAAGACTCAGAAAGGGGCGAGGCAGGGGACATGGAAGGCCCGAGCAGAGCACAATGACATCGACGCGGTTGGTCCCTCGACGTCGATGCCTGATGATGGTTGAATTGGTGCTCAGGATAATGGTGCTCAAAGTGCGAGAGTGTGTGAAAAGAGATGGATTGGTATGATCTGTTTCGACTTGATTCGAATGGCTCTATGTACCCGTAATTCTCAATGGTTTGTAATTCAAACAGGTCTCTGTCCCAATAGAAGTGGTGGTTCTCCCAGCAAGGCTGCACAGTTAGGGGGAGAAAAGGGAAGGGAAAAGAAATATAAAGAAGAGAACAAGCGAAGACGTGACAATTGATATAGGTCGAAAATTTAAGAGCAGAGGTGGATAGTCAATAATGACCAAGACGATCCAATAGCCCAAGTAAGGCCCTAAGTGTCACCAGTTTTTTCTTTTCCCCCATCTCCAAGAAAACTTAGTCTCTCCTGTATAAAAAAGCTTCAAGGGTATGACGCTATGTATGTACTTTGTACTTCAGGTAATCGACGCTTACGGCCCCGTATTATTGGTTATGAATCCTTTGGATGAATATAGGGACGTGGGTGGCTGTCTCATTACCTGCGTTGTGTCATGCGGTTCTCACCTGTCAAACGTCTCACATTGGAATAGGAGCCACTTGTCACAGTCCTGCAGTTTTTCATACAGCAGTCATGTTTGCCTCTATCTAGTCTACCCCACGGAGTAGAACCTGAGGAGGGAAAACACAGCTACAGTACGGAGTAGACTGATTTAACTGTTTATTTATCACCATCACGGACTGTCCCCTGCCCTAAGCCCCTGGATTTGCTGCTATATTTGTCTGCCGGATCGCTCGGCCAGATCGACATTCCTTGCCTAGCTATCTAATACGTACCTAAGGACTAGTACAGGTCGATTGAAAAAACGGCCCAGCGGATCGAAACTTTTGATAGTGAGGCGTCCGGATCGTCCAGGATGCACTAGGTCATCCAAAGAACGGGGTCTTTCTTGCGTAACTTATCTCCCAGTTTGATTCGTGGAAGTGATCTAACGAGACGCTTTCTAAGGAACATAGGTAGTAAGGACCACTGTCTTGAAACTAAATATTATCTATTTATCACAGACATCAAGCTTGTTCCCGTAAAACATGTGTAAAGCTGAAACATCAGGTCTGGGCTGCGCGTCTGTACGGAGTACCCTAGGGCGTAACTTTACCCCGGAGTATCCGGGATCATCTCTATCGGTCTATCTGTGTAAAAGTGCAGTGTTACCGCCCATTCATGCTTTGGTTCGCTCTGGCTTGCATGCGTCGCATGGCTTCCCGATGCAAGCCACTCATATCCCCACGCTGCATCCCGTCGGCTATTGCCCTGTCGAGATTGACTTGCAGGGAGGAGGCATTCCGCCCCGGTGCTCCAAAAGGAAACAAAGTGTGAGGGCCAAAGCCTGCCCCACCGATTGGTAGATTCTGTTTCGCCAAGGGATTGCGTTTGTCCTTCAAGTTTTCCCGAATAGATTCTCTCCACGCGGCCATGACCGCTTGAGCATTTCCAGGCCGAGATACGCACGATTGACTCCATTTCGGGGCAGAGGCTGGCCTGCTTATATGCGGGCTCTGGACTTTCTGTTGATGTAGCATTGCACGGCGACGAGAGAGGGGGACGTCATCCCCTGATTCCGGAAATGAAGTCGTCGGGGAACTCTGGGCCGAACTATCCATTGAAACAGACTGCCTAGGGCTGTTCCGCGACGCCCACGGATCAAGGCTGAGACAAGTAGACGAAACCCGACTCCGCATCATATCCTCTCGTACTGCAAGCAGGGGTGGCGGCCCTTTCCACCTCGGTTTGGGGAGCTCAGGGTCCCCTTGAGGTTGTTCAGTCGGGGTAGGTGGGCTGGATGCGCCTGGGAAAGCATGACGGCCGGTGCCGTAGGACACCGGGCTTGGGAGAGGGGTGGTGGACGATAAGACGATTGTGGAAGGTACTCCTGAAGACCTGTCCACTGGTTGAGCTTCTCCAACTCTCTGTGGACTGATAGCCGATGTTGTGCGCAGCCTGTAGTCGTTACAAATTTGTTGACTGTCATTTGCGCTCTGCAGTTCTTTTCCGGTGCTGGCACGCAAATTGGCAGCAATTGGTGGTTGCGCAGTGAGAGGTGTTTGCAACAGCTCCTCGACATTGACAGGAGCAGGAGCTTCTTCAGCCTCTATAGGGCTTTCTGCTGCGTCCTTTGGCATAGGCTCGATAGGTTCTGGCTCGGGAATTTCTGCATCACATAGATGCTTGGCCCATTCATTCGTGCGATAGGTCTGGACGACCCTCGATGTCCGCTCCGGAAGATGTCTCACTGTTTTGGCGTCCAGTTTGGGCTTTTCCGTTTTGCGTTTACTCTTTCGTTTTGAATGCGACGGCGAGTGTCGCTGGCACTCAGATTCAGCACTAACTTGGCTTTGACGATTCTCTGTGCCTTGTACAGTCTTCAATGAAGTATGTTCTCCTGAAACTTGAAGATTCTGATCCTCCGGGCGGCTAGTTTTCGTATTTTCTTCGGTCGAATTTGTGTTATTGCAGTCTGCAGTCTCGACTGTGCCGTTTGCCTGTGAATATTTAGATGTCTCCAAAGACTGTCGTTGTCTTCTCTCAGAGACCTCCTCGGCCTCTGCATCGGCTCGAGAAGGCAATGGTGGACATACTCCATCCGCTTGCGTCGTCGACTGCTCGTCCTCTGTCTTCTTGCTATCCGGCCGAGACTCAAGTCCTTGCAAACTTCCCCCGTTATCAGATGGATGACTTTCGTTCTGGCCAACGTCCTGAGCCTCTGTTTTCAATTGCTTCTCTATCTTGCCGTCTGCAGAAGTGTCTCTTCCTTCCACATTGCGCAAGCCTTCCTCCTCTCCGTGAGCATCTGCTTCTTGCGCAAGGACTGATTCCTGGTTGGCGAGGCATTCCTCTTCACCGTCGATTCCTTCACCTTTTTCAACTTCCACGTTGCTGTTACGTTTGTCAGACGGAATGACAGTTCCTTGCACTGCTATTTTAGGCTCCAAGCGAGCCTTGACCGCATCCTCGTGCGATTCAATTTCAACGCCATGACAATCCGAGCTTCTATCAGTGCTGTCATCCACAGCGCTTTGTGCAGATACCGACGACTCGTCATCAATATGCGCTAGGGCTTCTTGTGATGGTGCAGGTCTCAGGCTGCTCTGTACAGACGTCCTCTTCCAGAGTGTCATTCCGGAGAAGCGCTTCGAGCGTACCGTCGCGGTGTCTGAGCCAGCCATGGCAGTCACATCAGATTCCTTATCATCTATAAGTCTCGCCGCGGCCGCCCCGTCAAAGACCTTGAATGGCATTGGATATGCGCCATCAGTTGTCTTCTCAGTTGTGTCTCCATGTCTTTCGACTTCAGTATTTCCCGTAGCCTGAGTCACATCTGAGAATGAATCCTCACTACCATCCTGTTTTCTACAGTCAGAGCAGCGATAGGAGACCTGGGATGAACCGGAAATGCTGTTGACGTCGGCCACGTCACCTTTCTCAAGATCCTCCTTATCAGCAGCACATTGAGTGCCGTCTCCAAGCTCCGGCATGAGCTTTGCTTCCACATCCGCGTATTGAGTTTCCCATGCTTGTCTTTCCCGCATGTTATTCTCCTCGAGTCTGCGGGCAACTTCAGCTTCGGCCTCTTCTTTCCTCTTCTCTTCCTCTTCCTTGGCTGCTTCCTCCTTACTTCGCTTCTCTCTGATCACCTTCCACAGTCTGAGCTGCGACACAACACCTAAGATAGCAACAATCACTGTGACCGCAAGCTCTACCCGGATATTGCGAGTGATTGGGTAGGTTCCGGTGCCCAACGGGAATACATCTTCGTTGAGTCCTACATGAAGAGTGAGTAAGATTGTCAATGAGAACAGAATACGCCGCACTTACCCCATATATAGAGCCAGAACTCTTTCAGTCCAGCCCTGCTGTAGCAGTCGATCCCCAGGGCAACAGCTGTACCTCCCGAGACGCCAGCTGACACTATCAACCCATAAGGGCGCGTGTGATGACTAAAAGATAAGGCGTAGAATGCGACAGAGATCGCACCGATAAACCCAGCTTTGGCGTTTGTGTCCGTGAGAAGTCCTCCCGGCCTCAGGCAAAGAAGCCACATGCTGACGCAGAACCCTCCCAGAAGGCATCCAAGCCCTTCGGCCAATTCTTTGAACACAATGGAAAGCGCTCCAAATGTCACTCCTGTGAAGAAAATTGCCACGAGATATGCTCCTTGTACCGCCACACGCACAGGAGGACTCATGACATATACAATTAAGACCTGATTCGTCAGTTTACAGTACTACCAAGTTTATCAAGCGATAGGCTCACCGTGACTCCTAAGCTTGTAAGAAAGGCGGCAGATAAGAAAACTTGAACCCTAGGCCCAGTAAGTTAGCTCACAGAACTTTCTACAGGCGAGAATCTGAGAGTACCATGAATTGCGTATTCCAATCAATGCAAGAATGGCTCCCGTAGCTATAAGGATAAAGCCGCCAACCCCAAACGCTGGGGTGACCTGGGGCTCGAGCGGAAGGGCGCCAGGCGCGGGCGTAACTGTCCCATCTTTTCAAAATTAGCTTTTAGAGGTTCCAATGAGAGAGGATGCACCCACTCTCAGAAACAGTTGATGTGTTGAGTGACACGATAGTCGTTGATACCGGCGCGGTGGTATTCGAAGTGGTTGTAGAGTTCACTGTGGCTGTCGAATGGTTTACTGTGCTCGTTGCTGAACCGCTTGGAGCTAGGCTCCCTGATATTGTCGTAGTAGGCGATTCGTCTCGAGCTTCTAGAGCACCAACTGGCCGAATTTTATCGCGGCCAACATGCGGTATCGATGCTGCAAAAACAGATAGTCTAGATATAACGCAGACAAACAAAGCAAGGAGAGGCAGCAATCTCATCTTGACTGCGAGGGTGCTTTGTAATGATCTCAAACGCGATCGATAGAGACAGGCTGGTGACGCTGACGAGTACTTCTGAGATAGTGTCGACAGATCTTTTCTATTGTTCTTCACATACTTTGGCCCCTAAATTCACCGTGGACAATGACCATGACCATCAAGAACAACATTAATCGGTGCCGAAGCTGCGCTTTTACTTCGAAGTAAACGTGACTGTCAATTTTCGAACAAGCTGGGAGACGAAAAAGAGATCTAAGTCTCTCCAGACATATATGTACTGATATACATCATATCGCGCTTCTCGGCGTGACCGCCCCGAAAGTGAAAAGGAACGAGCTTCCTTATGGCCTAGGTGCCCAGAGAGCTGGCAATAATATTTTGTAGGGATGGACTCCCCAGTCGGTACACCGAATCATGCAAACGAGAGACGCACGGCAGACTGGGCGCATTGAAAAAGCGAGCTGTTCCACTGAATGGGGATTAAGGAAAAGCAAATAATTCCATCATCGGGGGCCATGCATGATAATTGTATTTTCTAGGCAGGGATCTACGATCAGTATCTCGCAAAAGTGATAAAAACTAACGATCAGAGAGCCATAGTGAGCCACGTAATCCCTATGAGGCATGTCCTTACCAGCGGTCAAGTAGTGGGCTTCTTGCAGACAGTCATTCCAGGATTCTGTGCATGATCTGAACTTGTGAAAGAAGGTTAAGGTAATCTGCAAGGGAGCAGTCTCGAATTCCCTGACCCTGTCCCTTGGGCAATCGAGGGGTCGGCTATAGGTGTATTTATAACGACAATCATTGGATAATTGTTCAAGGGATTCAATATCAACATGGCCTGCTATCACTACAAGTGACAATACCTGTGGCGTTAATTTCACATTTCAGGCGGTATGACAGGTTCATTTGGACTGCGACATTCAAGAGTAGCATAAGTACGGAGTATTCAGAATCCGATTCACAACAACAATGCGAGTATGACTCGCGCAGCAAATGAGATGGTGAGCAGTCATATCGGATTTGAGGATAGATGCAGTACCCATAGAGCCACTAGCAAGTCAAGCTCGAGTGTTTTACATCGGGTTCATCTTTAGCGAGGACCCAAACCGATTAGATAACCTTCGCATCCAGAGTGGGCCTTGCTATGGTCGTCATCTCTGCTGATCAGGCTAGCATCGTTAGCCTTCATTAGTTTAGGGCGGTAGGATGATCTGCTGCATGGAATGACAGGTCTGATCTCTCGGCTTTCCTAGGCGCCGGGACTGCCTTATTGAGAAGTGGGCATCCCGCTGCTTTATCTTCTGACTGTTCGTTGCAATCGTCTTTAATTTCCGAGATAGTTACTCTTTTGAATATGCTTAGCCGAGTTATCCGTTGTTTCCACAGCAGCGGGATTGCGATAATTAGTTTTTTGAGGTTTAGATGCCTGGGAAAGGCAGAGAAATCGGCATGTATTAACATATCCAGGGTTGGCAGCAGGATAACAATAGTGGGACGCACGGCTGATGCAGAAAGGAGTCCGAAAGGGCGGAAGCTGAAGGTCTAGCTACTTGAGTAGCTTGTACTTGGACAATCGTAGTTGCACGTACTCCTTCGCAGTTCCCTTCGTGAACAAAGACGCTGGCAGTGTCGTGCATTTGACATCTCACAGTGGAGTCGCGCGAGGAACAATCACTATATGGGCTCATTGAACTATTTCCGAGTTGGATATCCGTTTGGCTTGTCCGTGGTCTTCGTAATTGAGTATTCTGGTGGGCACCTATGAACGCATGCATAGGTAGCTCCATGCAAGAAGTAGATTAAATGGACAAATTCGGATTCTAAAAAATTGTAGCTCCGAATAGACCCCAGAGATCAATTAACATCCAATAAATTAGCGTAAAAAAAAGCAAGTTCTTGCTCAGTAGATATTTTGCAGCGATTGTACCAGAAGTACTCCAAATAGACAGGTAAACACTCCTCAATATCTGTGCCAGGTTATCACGTGACTTCCACCGCGCGCATCATCGCGGAGTCGGGGAGAGGACCACATCGACTATCATTAGCACCTACGAGTTATCATTCTTCCTCAACGTTCCCTGCTTATTTATTACTATCTCAAGCTCAAATTAACATATTTCCATCCATTCAGAGCGACATGTCTGCCTTCAGCTCGTCTCTTCGCCCCTTCCTGCGCGCCTCTTCCGGTGCAGCTCTCTCCGCACGCTCTTTCAGCACCTCCTCGCCGCGCTCAATCGCGCGCATGATCATCACTGGCCGTCTCGCTGCCGAGCCCGAGCTGCACGCCACCTCAACCGGCCAAGACGTCATCAAATATGCGGTGGGTACTACCTATGGCAAAGGGGATAATCGGCAGACCAGCTGGTTCCGCGTCTCGAGCTTCCAGCCAGAGGGTTCGCAGCGGGATTTCATTCTCGGCCTGCCGAAGGGGTGAGTATTTCCGCTTATCATGCTTGCAGCTCTATCTGTATTACCTGTGTACCCAGCGCATTTTTGGGTTATGGTTGCAGACTGAGAGCACTTTAAAGTCTGATGTTGATCGTTTCTTGCTCTACCAGAACCCTTGTGTACCTTGAGGGCGATGCCACCATGCGTTCGTACGAAGACGCAGATGGCAAGAGACAGTCCGCCCTGAGCATTGTGCAACGTAAGCCAGCTACCCTATTCATGCACCTCCATGTGAAAAGGATCCATACTGATGCATGCCGTGGATAGGGACGCTCGAGGTCCTCAAACGCCCGTACAACCCCGACGCTGCTGATTCTGAAGCTTCTTCCCAGTAATCGGCTTAGAGGACAATTGGGGACAGAAGAGAAATGATCGGTGGGATAGGCTTTTTGGTTCCTGTTTCCTGTTGGGGATAGATCGCGCCTGGTTAAGAATCTTGTCTGACATCTCCGCTTTGTCGGTGAAGCCGACTGTTGGCTGCCGCTCCCTTTGACTTGCATGTATTGTAGTTGCCGTGCCGTACCAGTATACCCTTGAATTACACTACTTTGACCGTCCGCTCTTAAGCTGACTTTTTTTTCTCTTAATCTATCGAGTGTTCTTCCATTGCGGTAGCAAGAGACAAAGATATTACGAGTCCCCATCGTCTGATATTGCCTGGTTTTGCTGGTGTTGCCTGCAATTGACGGAGACCGGAAAAAAAAAAGGATTACCCTGTATGTTGATGTATGGCTCTAATTTGGAGGGTTAAAGAAAACTCAGAAAGGAAATATATTACGCCGTATCTGCTCTAGTTAATATGACAAAAAGAATGGAACGAGTTGTCAGTCAGAAGAAGATGACTTTCCCGGAATGATATGTGAACACCGCAAGGCACCCATATGAAGGATCCATCGGTGAGCCCACGCAAGCCACACATGCTATGTTTCTGGTGACTGTGAATCGGTGGACTTGTGCCCTTAGCGAGTGAAGCTCACACCTGCAGCTCACTCTCTTGGCTGATCACTTGCTTAACGCGAATAGAATCCGGTCCGACTGGGGCATGTGTGAAGTCACTACTACCACGGCTCTGGCTCGTACCAGCCCAGGCGTTAGTGGAAACTGTGGTGGCTGGAACGGAAAATGTTGGGCCAGAGGTCGCTGTTTCCCGGACTGAAAGAAATGTGCGGCTCAAGAGACACCACGGAAATGAGACCCAGCGCGATCTTGTTGTAGAGAAACTCTCTTGTCGGGACGCGGCACCCTTTTCAATATCCTCGTGGCTGGAGGTGATCGTCCCGCTCGTGGTAGAGTCGGTCGTTGTTCTGGGACTGTATTAGCAGGAAGGATAAATCATGTGTCGGTGATGACAGATGATAGCCCTTACCCAGTTCCAGAGGACTGCTTCCTAAAAGACAGCAATTTCGCACGGCTCGCTGTAAACCCTTCAGTAATGGATGCCGAAGTGCCTTGCGACAAAGTACGCAAACCAGAAAGGCATTTTCCCAGGCCCAGGGGACAAAGAGCGGATTGGTACAATCTCAAAGCATCTTTGCAGCATCCGAAAAAGATGAAAAGCACGTATGCCGCAGCAATAGGAATCCAGCGGTCAAAGAAGACTTGACCTTGCGTTGGAATCTTGAGAATGGTGCTCCATGGTGAGTGTGGCCCATGGAGGCGGCTCCATGAGTATGGATGCCAGGGCAAATTGTACATAAGATTGCGATAGACAACGTAAGCCTGGATTGGCAGAATAGTACAAAGCATGATGCACGCAAGGAAAAATAGACGCAGGAATCTGGACTTGTTCAGATGGCTGTTGGCGGAGTTGAGTATGTCCCCAAACTGGCTTCGATATTTGTGAAGGCGATAAAGGGTTATCCCTGTGTGGCCATCAGTCATGAGCAGAGAAGGATGACGCTGCCTTATTCATACCGCAATAGAAAGCAGCCAGAAGGCAGATAATAGGAGGCCAGATGAACGCTAGCACAAGGCTCACCCAGCTTTGATCAAAGTTGTTGACGCACCCTGAAATACTGAAGATCAGGTATCGGCTCCTTTGGTAGACAATATGTGTAATCATTGCAATCACCGGGATGACCACACAGAATGAGATATCCATCAGACGGTTACGCCAACGTTGGCTGGTGCTGGGGACGAGCATAGCACGTCTGGTGTCGAGCACAGAGGCCAAGCTTCGGAAGATACACACCAGAGTCCCGGGTACGGCGACATAGCTCGCTATCATCACCTTGGTCTCGACATCACAAAGACCCTGACCATCCCACCACGAATCGACATCGTCGGTGGGCCAGATAAGTGCATTGATAATGTTAAAGGTGTTGCTGATAAGAAACCAGCAAATGAGGGCAGTAGCAGGGAAATTACGGTTCTTCCAGTGTAAGATGATCGGAGGAATACTGACAACAACTGCAATGGAGGATAGCACGGGGAGGACCACAGCCTGCGTGCTACGTCCTGTTGTAGGTGATTCCATGACAGAAGCTGTCTCCTAGAGACAAACGCTTTGACTGAAGGATTCCGATCGAGATGCCGGTGTCGTGCACAAATGCTTCTTCTGCGGATCGAATCGACGGCGAGTTTCTTGAGGTCTGAATGGCGGGAGCAATGAGCTAGCAACGCTCAGTTAAAGGAAGGAGATCACAAGTCGCATCTGAGGAGGTACACAGGGGGGCAGCGATAGCCGGGAGGAAAAGTTGTATGTCTTATTGAGGAGGAGATCCCGGGCGAAGACTGAGTGTAGATTGCGGAAGCCCTCCACTCACCCTCTCTGTTGAGACAGTCATTTCAGAAGATCTCAGCAGGTGGAGAACATGCGAATAGACAGCAATGGAGCTGAGAAGTGAAGAGAAAAGCAAACGTGTTTGACGCATATGGGGAAGGAGAGCAAGTAATTCAATCAATGGCTTCATCCTTGACGGTGCCGGGTTCGCTTATGTCGAGATCCACTGCAGCCTGAGCAAAGTCATCACCCGACTATTGAGAAGATCGACTTGAATAAAGAATGGTGAAGACAAAGTCAGACAGAATGGGCTTTCTAAGCTCCTTCTGAGGTGGTGATGGGTGGAAGAGTCACTGGGATATCGCCCAGCGGATACTGGAACCATTCCCTTTTCGGGTGTCAATAAGCCCGCTGTTTGCCATCATCAACAAACTCAACACAATCGACTGCTGAGGCCCCCTAGTCTGGCCCGGTTCGAAGGCCTTTTGCCCCTGGGATGCGGTCAGTCGCTGTGAGACCTCGACTCTTGGTTTCACAGAACGCATACAACGGCATCTTGTGTCGTCGGTAAGGAATGTCCGTATGATGGCCGCGACAAATCAACAGGCGATTGGATGCCATCCATCATAAGATCACACGCAGCTATCCAGGGATTGGAGACGGTACAGTACCTCTCATACGTCTTTTCCCTCTCCTTTTTGTTATCTGGAGCGAGGTAATGCCTACTCCGGGGTAGTAATATATAAGACTGTCATGACATGGCTCACCCGACATCTCCAAGCCTAGAAAGGAAAGGATAACGGACTACACTTCCAGGGCGAAAATTTCTTCAGACTTCGAGATACTTGGACTGCTTGAACAATTGGCGTTCGCGAAGAGACCTGATGAGAACCGATTTCAAACCCCACATGATCGATGATCTCTGATTGTAGGTTACATTGTCGAGCAGTTGCAGATTTAGATTCCCGAGGCTTTGGAAAGTGAAGCGTCATGTTCAAACTCCACACCGGCCACTGATGGAAGAGAAGACCATTCCATGCAATCTTTGAGCGAATAGGTACATTGTTTAATAACTGCTTCAACGAGCACTCGAGGGGCTGGAATAACCTCAAAAACGTAGTGGGTAGGTTTTGTTATTGCTTTTTCAGGCAGCCCCTTCTGTGGCGCATGTAGTCGCTATTACGTACCTCTGGCGTCCTCTCTCCGCGCTTGGTCAGGTTCAATGCAACACTCCAAGCAGGATCAACGCCTTTGCAAAAGCGCGCCCAAATGGCCTGAACTTCGATTCCTTTTCTCAACTCTACCTCCTGGCATGTATCTTGGTATACCATGTGGTACATCTGAGTCTCTATCATTCCCAAGATACCTATGGATTGCGGCACCTAATCCGCTACCGTCATGCCAGAACAACCCCAGAGATCGGCTTCACCCCAGGCCCCTATGGAGAGCGCCCGACCCCACGTTCACGCGACCGGATCCCTGAACCTCCGCCATCGAGGMCCGACCCGTGCTGCAACCTTTGCAGAGGGTTCGTCAAGCATTCAGGATCAACGTCGCAATTCAAGCTTTTCGGATTCAGTATCTGAAGCCCGAAATTCGATTCGCTCCTCAACTGACGAGTTATTGTTCCCTCGTGTAGTTCAGAAAGGGGACATTGCTTTGCCAAACGAGGAATCGAACTGGCAATCTGCGCCTCTTGGACTGGCACTATTGCCTGCTATTGCTGGCATCTTTTTTAAAAATGGAAGTGCAGTCGTAACAGATATCACTCTGCTGATTCTGGCAGCTATCTTCCTCAACTGGTCGGTGAGGCTACCATGGTAAGAGCTAAATGCCCTCATTCTACGCATTCCACATGTCTTTTCCTAACTGAAGGACCAGGGAATGGTATCGCTCTGCTCAGGCCTTGAAACAAGAGGACGTATATTACGATTCTGTCACTTCAAATGTAGAACTCGACACGGATGACAACGAGGAAACCTATGCAGAGCGAAAGAATGCGACTGATAGAGGGCCTCGAAAGGAGCAACGAGTCCCGAGTGCCGCCAACGAGGCCAGTAGGGAGCTTCAAATCCATGAAATAGTTGCTCTTGCATCGTGCTTCATCTTTCCCATGATCGGGACATGGCTACTCCATGCTATCAGATCCAAATTGTCGCGGCCATCGGAAGGATTAGTATCCAATTACAACCTAACTATTTTCCTACTGGCGTCAGAGATTCGGCCATTCGCCCACCTGCTGAAGATGGTGCAGGCGCGCACACTCCATCTTCAGCGCGTTGTCGCTGCATCTGCCGACGACGACGAGAGACTGGACCCGAAAAAGATCAAGGACCTAGCCAAGCGACTCGAGGAACTCGAAGCACACGTCGCTGAAACAGCTGCGGCTCGACTGTCATCCGGATCATCAGACCACCCACAAGACCAGGAACAACTCCAAAATCTCATCTCGCAAGCAACCGCGGAAATCCGCAAAGGCTTCCAACCGGAGATCGATGCCTTGAATCGTGCGGTTCGGCGCTATGAGAAGCGCACAGCGCTCACGTCGTTTCAGACGGAGGCAAAATTCCAAGCGCTCGAAACCCAAGTGCATGATGCTATTGCTCTGGCGGCATCAGCGCAACGCTCCGGCTCGCGTCAGCCGTTGGGTGCTCTATCGGGATTATTCAATAGCATATATGCAATTATCCTGCTCCCCGTGCAGATCTTCATGTCCCTGGCACGCCTCCCCTTTCAGCTATCAACGCGATGTCTACAATATTGCAAAGATATGCTGCTCTCGAAGCCACCACGAAGATCGAGCAAGGGTAAGTCGCCGCGAGATGTCAGAAGTTCCTCTTCGAGGCAGTTCAGAAGGACTCCCCAACAGGACATGGGCGGTGGTCCAGCGCTCAAACCAATTCGGGAGTATCAATAGCAAACGGAAGTGGGAAGGGTTTTGATATGGTTTTGGAAAGTATACTATCATGATACAGGTTTGGCTTCAGAGCCATCGGGTTGTGATTCGGGCGTTTATTCATTGCCTGGTCAATATGGACCAATGCTGTGCTCTTCTTTTGTTTATTCTTTCTCTTTCTCTTTGTCTTCATCAGCATCTGTGGGGTCTGTACTCGGGTTCGAGATTCTGGAGATAGGTCTGGACAGGCGATGGCGTCCTGCGAAGAGCATTCATGGCTTACATTTGTCCTGCTATTCAGGGGTTTTAATTCAAGCTACGCATAATGCCAGTGATAAAGTGACAATATGTCTATTGACTCAAAATGATCCCAGCCCTGCGTCTTGCAATGCGCAACCAAAAGGCCACCGCACGATGACTATATAATCTAACAATGTACTGAGAAGAAGACGTGAGAGCAGACGTGATATACAGAGAACAGACCGCCCAGCTCTATCAGTAAGACACAAGAACCTCCTATCCGAAGCGCGAAAAGCGCGACCGACTTGCGTGAGCAAAATAAGAAAAGTTTATACAAGGGTGGGTGATTACGGAGCACCTCCCGATGGGCCCATGTTATCAACCCCAACCGTCTTCAGGAATGGCTCGATAATACTTCGTTTTCTCTCCTCCATGGCTCGCCGCTCCTTGTCCTTGCTAGGGACAGTATTGGCGGAAATGAGAGCGGAGGCAAAGATGGAAGATAAGGCTGTTTCGACTGCTTGTCGGCGATGACTGGCGTTGGCTTGAAGGCCCGATAAGCTGGAGGCTGTCAAGACACGCGGTCGGCGTTTGATACTGCCCCCCGAAACCGAGGCTGCTGTTTCAGCTGCAGTTGGATCAGAAGACTGTCCGCTTCTGGTGGACAGAACACTATCCCTCTTCTTGTCTTGATGTTGTTGGCTCGATATTTCAGGGAGTGCTGGTGCCGTAGACGGCAACGGGGCAATCTCGTTGGCAATGTGGGCGAGCATAAAGGTGACGAATGTGAAGGAGACGCTGTGAGCGGGGGAGTAGGCGAGTGTCTCTAGGACCCATGCCTGGGTTTCATCCCAGGACAGGGGAGGTGACTTAGCCCGTTCACGCGTAACCATCTGCTGTTCCATTTTCTCCCAAATGGGAGCCGTGACTATTCCATCTCTCAGTGAACGAAGAAAGGCCAACAAGGTCTCACACAGAAGCTCTAATCGATGGAGCGAGGTTACCTCGGGAGCAAAGATAGACCTGAAGTCTTGATTGGTGTCCAAGGCTTCACGGACTGAAGCCAAGTGCCGAGATCGTTGCTCCTTATCCGTCAAAGTCCACGTCTCTGGGTCAAATGGCCATCCAGCACCCTGGTCCTTTGCCCATGGGGGCAACTCTTCGTCGAAATCACCTTTTGTCATTCCCCACTCAGCAATGGCACGTTCAGACTGTTCTGAAATAGCCTCGGTCAGGCGGAAAAGCTCGCGAGGGGCTGATAGGCGGCCAGTTTCATCGTGATCACGCTCTTTTTCTGATTTGTCCCTTTTCAATAGGCTTCGCGCACCGGCTTCGGGCATCATGGTAAGTTCTTCCACGCTGCGACCAAAACATGTAGGTAACCACTGCCCATAAGCAGAGATGAAATGATCGCGACCACCCGTCACCCTAAGGACAAGGATGTCCTCAAGCTTGAGTTGATCGTTGTTCAGCAAACGAACATGCTCGATATCGTGAACATGTGCTGTTATATCAATGTTGGCGAGTTCCCCGGGAAACAGAGTACGTTCGTTCGTTTTCCGTTTCTTATCTTCCCCATGGTGAGTGGGTGCTTCAATTTTGTATTCCAGCCATGATGGTGTCTTCTGTTCACTGGCTTGATCGGGCCTCTCAAGACGGAAAGTAGCGGGCACGCCACTCGTATTTGCAACAGTGAGTGAGCGGGTGATGGGTACATCGAAAGCAACATCACCAAAGTCAACCGCATTCGGATCTGTTGTGGACTTTCTGGGATCCGCTCCGTGTGTATCGACTACGATCGTCAAGCCAGGTCGCGATTCATTCTCGGCCTTGTCTAGCTCCCGTACAACTTCTTGATGTACCTTGGCTTTCAGATGAGGGTCGACAGCTTCATACTTGATCGTAAAACCAGCAGTCAAAGGCTTGTGGTCCGATGATAGAATACCTTGATGTGACACATAATATTCGAGCCGACAGCACTCATCCGTATCAGAGTCGGAAGACACCGAAGCACTGTCGCTCGATTTATCCTTAGTTGGGTCATACTCGTCCCCACTGTCGGCACCATCAACGTCGGGGTCGTAGTCAAATAATACGTTGTCATCAGCAGCTGCCTTATCCAAGCCTCTTGCTTTCATTTCTTCGTCCCTTTTCCTCGACTTCTCGGCTTCTTGAACCAGCTTTTCATGCCTCAGTCTGTCGTGGCGTGTCCGGTACAGAATTCGATCGCACCAACTGGGCCCACGATGCTTCTCGCTAGAGTCGAACCTGGCCACACTCCCTACATCATACTTGTATGTCGGTAAGAATGCAATGTTCCCTTCTCTCCAACCGTCATGGAAAGCCTTGTTCTTCTTCTGTTGCATACGAAGCTGGTCATGGGGCAGCAGAGATGCAATAGTAGTTTGTAGCGACGACGGGTCCGTATGAGGGTCGATTTCCTCGTCGGATAGAGCTGGAAATGATTCTTCCGGATTATTATCATGTTCGACGCCTACCATTGGTGATGATGGCACTTCTCCTTCGACATGGTGTGACGGCAAATGTCTCTTGTCATATTCATTCTCTGTATGCCGAGCGAGGACTTGTCGCACGTCACCTCCCGGAATATCTTCAAGTCTATAGTTCAGGTCACCAAACCAAAATGCGAAATCTTCTCCTCCAATACTATCCCCAGGATCCTCTCTCAGGCCCTTGTCTGGGTCAATGGGGTCAAATTTAGCGCGTCCAACAATCTGAGATGCATCCCAATTGCGCCGTTCCAAGCTACTCTTATCCGAGCCAGCGGAAAGATGCGAGTTGATAAACACAAGACAAGTCGTTTCACCAAGCATCAGTCGCGTTGCTACAGCACCTTTATTGCCCATGTAGCCCAAAAGTCCTGTACCCACATTGGCGGAGCTAACCGAAGATATGCTCTCGACAACGGAAGGAGCCGCATATATCAAAAGCATGAGTCCCACCAGCTGAGTCTCCGAAACGAGCTGAAACCCCTCTGGGAGGGATTTCTCAAGCGCCGCCTTCCATTTGTTCGATGGTCCTGGATCAACGTATGGCCTCAATGCCTCCGCAGCCGACGAGACGTCAACAACCTCCTGTAATCCTAGAACGTAGAGTCCGACCTTCTCCGGCTCGTACGGAGGGAGTTTGAGAAATCCTTTGCGTTTCGGCTGGCCGACCTGAGCATCCTTCGAAGCGTCGTCTCCCGACCCCCAATCAGTCCCATCGGACATATCTCGGGGATCCTGCAGCTTCAGACCAGAGAGCTGTTCGCATATACCCTTTCGTTCCACGAACCATTTTCCAACATCTTCCTCCGTGCCTCGGATGGCTGCCACATTCCATGTGCCGACCTTGACGCGCAGCGTTTGCTCGCGGGTATACTCCGACTTTCTCGCCTTGACGGCCTTAGGAAGCGCGAGCGGGTCATGATGCTCGTCGGGATGGCGACCGGAGGAGCTGCTGTCACTGTCGCTTTGATACCCACCGGGGATTGAAGATACGGGCGGTTGCGACCCCGACTGATCGGTGTTTGAACTCATGCTGTGAGGATCTGACCGAAACACGGCCCATTATTCGAACGATGGTTTATATATATTCCTTCTGTTCCCCGCGTATGATTCAAGGGACCAGGACTCTACCTCCGAGAGAGGCTCTATTCCCCACCGCGAGGCGCAAAGAGAGGTAGCGAAGTAACAGGGGCGTCGCGTGACGGTCTAAGTCATCGGGACAGAATCTTAAATGCGAGCTGTCGATCAGGAACCGGCGAATTGTCCCTGCGTCACGAGATGTCTAGCGGGAATGCGGGGGTCTGAGTGTGGAGGGAGAGAAGAGGACGACGCGGCGGCGATGGGACGGATGGCGGCAGGAGGTCGATACGAATGACGACAGGCGATGGCAAGACGGCAATTGAAGCGGTCCTTGGATGGCGGAACTATAATTCTGTCCAAGAATAGGTCGGCTGATAACATACAATACAAAGATACGATTTGATGCTGCTTGTCTCCAACACAGCAGAGAAGCGCGTAGCATTGATCAGGAAATGATTGAATCGTAGGTGCTCCGCTTGACCTGTTCGCGGGGTTCAGCATTCTTTTATCTTCTCCATCAACGTCACCGATATTCCGCATCCAACAATCTTCTCGATTAGCTACTGCCACCCCTTCCTCCATCCATATCTTGAAGTGATATATTCTCAGTCCTCTATTACCACGAGTCAGCAGGGGACAACTGTATGAGTATTCCCCTGTACTACGCATTTTCTCACAATGACGACCCGCAAACCCCGACGGTCGAACAATGGCAATGGCAACAATCATCGTCACAATCACCATGGCACGCAACCCTCCGACTATGAATCCGACTACCCAAACTACTTTTCCGACACGCAACAACAGCAAGAACAGCACATGCCTCCCCCGCCGCTACGCTCTAACGAGGAGCTGAACCTCTCCGTCGTCCGCCGCCATAACCCGTCTGTGAACTCGATTCTCTCTCTCGCTCCATACGCAGTGATTTACTTGTTCAACCCGACGTCCCGACAGTGGGAAAAAAGCGGTGTTGAGGGGTCACTGTTTGTCTGTCAACTATCTCAAGGAAGTCTAGGGGAGGAACGATACAGCGTCTTCGTACTGAACCGACGCGGCCTCAACAACTTTGATATTCTGTTGACGGACGGAGACAATGTGGAGCTTACGGAGGAATATGTCATCATCAAATCCGACTACGACATGGATAGAAACCAAGGCATGAACAACAATAATGACTACAATGGTGCCCAGAAGAATGCGAACCCAACCGACGTCCGTATCTACGGCCTCTGGATCTACTCCGAGCCACCGCCAAACTCGACAGCTGAAACACGCACAATCAACGCCCATATGATCCGAGAATGCGCCGTTCATGCAGGCCAGAGTCTGAAGATCGCCCATGAGCGACTAGAAGCGGCGCGTCAGAACGGCCTTCATGTTGCTGCTGCTGCCGCTGAGGCTGGCTCCATGGATGAAATGCTCTCGAGTGTTCCTATGGGCCGCCAGATCTCCTTGAAGGACCTCTTTGGCCAACAGAGAGCACAGGACGATGAATGGAGTGTTAAGGCGCACAATATTGGTCCACAGCAATGGCAGCAAACATCGATGGAGACGCCGGCGGCGGAACCGCAACCTCGACAGGATGTTCTGGGGGATTTGTTCAGAAGAGCAGGACTAGCTTACCAGGGGAACTCTTAGCCTCGTTCCGGGTACGTATCTATCGTTCTGCTTTCCCTGATGTCGTTACACGACAAATCTGCCAGAGGGATAGAGTTTGTTTATAGAGATACCCAAATGTCTTCACGGTTCGCTTTAGTGGTAATTGTGACGGAGGCCAAACTGGAGTATCTTTGACCTCTGCTTATTACGTCATCCCAAAGTTGATGGCATGCAATGTGTTATCTCGTATGGGTATGTACATGCAACGGACCCTTCCTCAAGGTCCGCATGGCTCGAAGCCATGCTGCTGGAAATGATAGACAGGATCCCTGATATGAGTCCATGCTCGTGTATCAGATACAAGCAATGCCCGATTGCTCATCACTCGTCTTGGTCTATATTAAAGTCATCAAGCCAGGCAATAGTTCTACACCTCCAAGCACCGCCTTTGACCGTCTCAAGCCGATACAATATCCAGAATCATATCAGCCACCTTCTCCGCCATAATATCATTATGTCCTGTAGAACTCTTTGTCAGTACCAAGCCTATAGCCCATAGCCAGAGCAGTAGCAAACTACTCACTTATGCAAAACGCATGCGGCAGCCCAAGCTCGCAAACCGACATCGTCGGCCCACCTTCTATACGCCCTCGAAGCTCAATGATCTCATCCCTCGTCCGCTCCGCAACCCAATGGTCATTTCGCCCAAAGTAGAAGAACAACCGAGTTAGCGGCTCGTTGGCCGTCGACACACCCCAGACATCATCGCTCCATTTGTCCGAGGTGATGGTCCGCATCTCGTCAGCGGCCATGTGTCTGCACCCGTTAGAAGATCTCCCAACGCTAACATGGCAATGAACGGGAAATGGGAATGGGAACGAACAAAGCTTGTCTAACGCCACGTTTGCTCTGGATAAACGCCGCGGTTGTCTCAACCGCACTATTCGGTGGCGACCCCATAACAATCTTGATTAGACCACGCAGCAGATTGCCTGGAAGTAACGTTGCCAGAACCCTGGCCAGAAAGCCAACGACTAGTGCCAGCTGGGGTATAAAGTAGAGCAATCGCTGCCTCGAATCAGTATTGCACCGGAAACCAGCGGAACAAACTCACCGTCAACTTCTGCCCGGAAGGCGACTTGGCGATATCCACGACAGTAGGGAAGAGCATAATCCCGCCAACGATATCGAAATCGGCCTTATCAGCTCCAACCCCAGCTTTAGCATCTGACCTCTCCCCATGTCTCCTCAGAATCTCCATAGCGATATAAGCGCCCACCGAATGACCAACAAGAATGACCTTCTGTTTAGTCTCCGCCCCCGTAAGGAACCCATCAAGCTTCCCCTGGGCATAGCAGATCTGGTCCTCAAGATCAAACAAGCGCTTCCCGGCATCTAGATTCCCGCGCTGGTCGAGCTCGAACCCACCCAGGCTATGTCCGTAGATCTGAAACTCACACGCATGGCTACGGCTCTGAATCTGCGCGCCGCGCGAACCCAGTTTGTCAGCAAGAAGCGACAGGAAGGTATGGTAGTATCCGATTAGTCCCGGATTCCCTGAGATCATGAAAATGGTGACCGGGGACGAAGACGGGATGGGACCCGACCTGCTCTTCTGCAGGGAAACAGTGTGGAGAAACGTGTCGGGCGTGATGCGCGGCTGGGGGGATGTTGACATCTTCCGGATTGTTGGGCGGTATATTTGCGAGGTGATATACCGGCGAATCATGAGATAGTTAACTAGGCTATTGAACTATTGGACTTGATGAATGCGGAATGGTCGTGGTTGACTTTTATGATGTAGTAGATGGTGTTCCTCGGCTTTAGGACGTATCCACTGAACCATTTGAAATTCGATGGAGAGGACGGCAACGTTTTAATTAACGATTTGCAATGAGCATCCATAATGAACGAGATAAGCATCTTGAGGCCATTGATTTAAAACTAAAATCCAACTTAAGCTTGGCTAGGCTCAGAACGAGCTCTTGTTTTAAAAGTGGATGGCCGACTGCGAACAACAGCCTATTGACCATTCCGCCTCAGCATCAATGATTCTGGGATTCGGCATTCGCAGTTGGTCTGCACATTGTGAGTTGATCGTGGTGGACTGGCCAGTATTAATGTCTTCAGCCCTACAATATAATGCTACACTATCCTTATTGGCGATTTTCGATTGGTAAGAAAATGATTTGGGTCGAATATATATGATCATTGTGCGGACAAATATGTGCAGTCAATATTTTCCCAGAAAAATAAGCATCGACTTGCGCAATAGTTCGTCCATTAATCGTCCTCTAGGATAATTCCTAGTTGTGAAATGAAGCGAGACGAGGGATATAGATGGAAAGACCTCTTCCTTGCCGCTTCGCATTTCAAACATACACAGGGTCATTGCGGTCCGTTCCATCCAGCCCTATTCCCCTCCCAGTACCAGTGCTGTAAAGAACCCAAATGTAGATGAAAAGAAACCCAAACATCTGGATTTCGATAAAATCCTAAATCGCGCTAATGCAACAGCATTTGCAGGTGCTGTTATAGTAATTCCGATTTTCAAGCCCCTTGTTCGCCAGCCATGGACAAATCAACCAGCACACCACGTATGAATCAAACAAAATGTAGAATGCAACACCGTGATATCAAACAGGCAAGCGAAGGGGATATAATAGATCGACTCATATCGAAAAGACCTGATTGCGAGAAGAGGCTGTGGTATGCAAAGCCAGAAACCGTCAACAACATCAACAAAAGAAAGATGATACACAGCATCTATGAATACCAGAACTGGAAGGATGTGTAAAATGGGATCAAAACAATACAACAGACCGTCACAGTCAGATGTTGGTTTTCGAAAGTGGAAAAGCGCAAAATGATGATCGCATCATCTGGTATCTCTAAGGCGAGGACTCTTGAAGACAAACAGAGAGAATGATCCCGTAGCCTGAACAAGCATAAGAGCAGTATTCAGGCCGAATACTGCTCACACGATAACAACAGCCGAACACGAGAACAAGGGAAGAAGAAGTCATCAAGCCTCTTCTTTCACACTGTCAACCCGGTTTTCTTTCTCATTGCTCGTATGACTTGAGGTCGGATCGTTCGACTCGGTTTCTGAGGTGGCTGGCTTGACTGCGGGACCGAGGTTGATAGCGATTCGTTTAGGCGCTGCGCCACCCAAACCACCCGAAACATTCTGAGTTGATCCCTTTTCGGCAGTAGAAAGAGTCCCAATTGACATGCCTCGCTTTCTCCGTAGAAGACCTGCACTGCTAGAGCTACTGCTCGTAGAGCTCCTCCTTTTCGGCCCTGAGGTTAGCTTGACCAATTCATCGTCATCCTCCTCTTCACGTCGACGCTTCTCTGATAGGCGTTCCGGAGGAGTCTGTATGCTTAGAGAAACCGGGGTCGACTGCGTCTCCAACGAGATATCGGCAGTCGCATCCTCTTCCTGTGGTGTTGGCTGCGCCTGGAGTTCGTCGGCTTCTGGCTTTGTATCCATGGCATTCTCATCTTCATCATCGTCTGGATAATCAACCAAGGGTTTCACTACTGGCGAAGCTGCGCCATTCTGCACGTTGACAACGACAGCACCAGGCACACGATTCTCTTGCTGCCACTGAGAATTAGAAGTCAGCGAGTGGAAAATTTTTGTACTACTGGGCGCGGCGCATCTTACCTCATCTTCGTCATCGGATGCGTTGAAGTATTMCTCTTCAGCAGCATCCATCTCCTTGACCCCTTGCCAGCGTTGGCCATTGGCCTGTAATTTTCGCGCTTCCTCTTCTTGTGAAAAGAGAGTTGAGTCCGCCTCTGCTCCATAGCCTTGCATCTGCTCGTAGCGCAGAATCAAATTCTGAAAGGTGTCAACATAAGTGATATCCTTGATCTTCTCACGGTATTTTTCAACAATGTGAAGAACAATGGGTTTGATATTCTCTCGTTTGATGAACTCAAAGAGCTCAAGGCATGCTGAGTTGAGGAGGTTGTCGCGAGGCATGGTTTCGTAGACAATGTCTAGGATCAGCCCGAAAGTGTTGTTGTGCGTCATCAACGCCTGATAGAACGTATCTTGCAGGCTGACCAAGGTGCGGAAGAATTTCAAAGCGGCTGAAGGAGTACGACGTTAGAGATCCGAAGCAAAGCCTGCAGAATTGGGATATGGACTCACTTAATTTGAGGTGTTTCTGAGGAACTCTAAGTAACTGGGCGATTCGGGGCGCAAGGCCCTCGTTATGAATGACGTTACGGCTTCGGTAGAGATGTTGACGGACGAAGAATGTGAGGATATCAACCAGATGTGAATATAGGGATACTTCTTGAAACGTGAGATCGTTAACTGCGTAGCCGTTGTAGCAGTTAGTATCGTTCGAGAATAATGACCATTCAATGCACGCAGTACTTACGGTTGGCGCGATTCTCAAGCCGTCTGAGGGGAAGAAAGAGTCTTCTAGCGGATTCATCAAAGTGATTCTGCATAAACGCATCAGAGAGAATATTAGGACGAAATTTCGAAAAATATTCGGGACCAGCCCGACCCATGGCGTCCTGCAAAGGAATTTGAGGATCCAATAGAACTTTGATCGCATCTGCGAGCTGATTCTTCACACCAAGGTCAGATTCGGCATGCAGGAGATCGATCAGAGTATCGGTAAGGGGTGTTTTCTTTTCGTTGACGGCCTTGAGCATATATCCGCGCATCATGATTGGATCGTGATCAAGCAGAGCTACAAGGAGATCGACTCCTGTAGTGCGCATGGCTGGATTGAGATGTTTGATGGCAAAGGCAATGACGGCGAAAAGGCCGTGATTGATGAAGTTCGCAAACAGATTGGCGCGCGCGGGAGCCTGTAGATTCTTCGCGATTCCAGCGCACTGGTGAAGGAATTGCACGGCGTCATCTTTGCGCTTCAAATCTGTATTCCGAGGGTCGAAAACCGAGAAGAGTTCTTTCAAGAAGGGTCCATTCGACTGAATGTGATTCACTATCTCCACCTGATTGAAGAAAATCAGAGAGTTGAGGACAGAGAATGTCGGGTCATCCAGTATTCGAGCCAACACCACATCTTTCAGATATTGTAGGCGCCATGTGTAGCGGATCTTGCGGCGAATGATGGGATCCTTTATGGGAACGACTTCCTTGTAACGGCTCTGATCTGCGAGATATTGACGATGATTGGCCTTGTGGGTAGGGAATTCGGGATCGTCTGAGATGAATTAGCCATATACATCCTGCGAGAGTCGAATAAGACAGAGGGGCCGATTATCACGCACATTCCAATGCCCCGACCACTCCCAGAATAATATCATCGGTAACGACTGTCTCAATAATAGTGTTATCATTGAGGAGAATAAGCGATTTCATTATGTTGCAAAGTCGATGCAAATCCGGAAGGCTCTCCAGATCCTCTGCGACAGTGACTAAAGGTATCAGTTTCGGAATATACTCGTCTCTAATGACAAATTTGGACAGCGCGTCGCGACCGGCTTGAGTGATGCTGGCTGCTCTCATGATGTGATCGATTTCCGGAAGATTCCCAAGCTCAGGCGGAGGTAGCATAATTGACTGATAGCTCTCGAGGTCGTCGGACAAGGCATCGTCTAGTAACGGACGTAATCAGTCTACCGGTCACATAGGGATCTGCCACGATGACCTGGAAGCAACGGGGACGGATATCAACTAACCTGCTGCTGCCAAGCTGTGTAGGTGTTGTTGGACATTATTCACAAAATTCCTTGGTAACTTATCAGCGACAAAGCTGAGAGATGGGCGTCCACGCAACGCCTTACCATATAGCCGCGCAACCCTCCGCTTCCTGAAAACTCAATGCCATGTCCGTTCCATTAGGCTCTGTCCATACGATAAGGGTCTCTGTTCGGAGCGCACGAGCGTTAGCCTCTCAATTCTCGGTTCATGATGCGATAGGATGAGGGTCGCGAGGGAGATTGACCTTGCTGCTTCTGATAGCCATCGTCCTTGGTGATTCTCGTCTCGAGGAGCACCCGATCGGGCTCATCCTCCGACTGAACGAATATTCGCGGTTCATCCTACGGGACGTAGACGCCATGTTAGTCATAGAGAAATGGAAATCTTCAGCGCGAGGTCAACTGCAGCTTTCGCGCTGACTGGGAAAGCGGCAACAGAAACTTACGTCGAGAATCTGTCCCATACAGAACCCAGTCCCTCGGTCAAACCAGTCATTATCCCTCAGCTCGTAGACCTTGACCCGCTTACGATCGTTGGGTGGTTGTAAGTCCGACGCCATGGTGTGGCAGAAAGGAGAGGTGGCGTCTCTTCAAACCGGAACAACTCAAGAAACGAGTGTACCGGCGCGAGAACCGCCACGGGGGAGTGGAAAGGAAGGGCAGCCGCTGCCTTGTCCAGGGTTGAACGACGAATGCGCGTGGACGAGCGGCAAAAAGAGGATTATTTCTGAGGGGGAAACGAAGGATCGGAAACGATATCAACAGGCGGACGATAACGATGTTTGATGCTGTGCTGCGGATGATGATGATCCTGAGTTGGGGACGGACCACCTGACGGCCTCGGCAGCGGTCGGCGGGCGCTGGGATTTTTTTCCCCTTCTCACTTTGGGGTCGGCGAGCGCGCAGAAAAGCGACAGACACGCGACCGTAGAGACTTGAGAATACCTAGGCGGGCTCTTATCTCCTCGTGCCGCGAAC